TTCCTCGTATGTGTAAAAACCTACTTAGCAATAAACCTAATTCTGATTCTTTAAGAGGCTCCTCTCTAAAATACCCCAAAACCACTAATATGCAGTTCAGCCTCATCCACGAAGGGACGATTTAAATACGTGAACGTAACCTAGCACGTAGTTGTACTGTAGTATTTGCCGCTCATGCTTTATTAACGCGTCTTTTGTTTTTCTTTCACAAAAAGCTCACATTTGAAAATCCCCCCCACCCCCGTCACGTGACGAAGGCCACAGCGGCCTCTCAAACACCGGAAGTGGTCGGTAGTGTTGTCGCACCGGAGCTGCTGTCATGTGATAGTTCGTCCGAGGAGCTGCTGTTGTGACAGTAGCTTCCCACCTTTAGATGAAGCTCCAGTGAAACCGCGAAGGACAGAAGTTGTATGTGCGCCGGAGACGATCACCACGGCTCATTTGTGACGGGGGTAGTTTAGTGTCGCCCCTCGGACGCTGCCATGGGTTGTTGTTACAGCAGCGAGAACGAGACCACAGAGCAGGTAGGTAGTTAGCTGCTACATGGCTAAAGCTGTCCCGATACAGGTCATGTTTTCAGTTGTTAACAGAGATATTACGTGGTGGTAATGTGTGTATTTAGCGTGGTTTGTACGTAAGGTGCTGTTGGGTGCTGTGTGCCGACGCTACCAGGTGGCAGTAGGTTGGATTTGAAGAGACTCTCAGGAGAAGTAGCTTTAGCTTTGTGGCTGGAGGCTTCAGGAGAGGCCTGGTTCAGGACACACTGTGAAATGAGCTCTTAAGGTGGAAAATGATCGTAGTTAATAAGAGATGTGCAGATTTGATGCCGAAGAAACCCGGTTTGAAGAAAAGTGTACGCATGACATCATGTGTTTTAACATTAAGGGTCATTTATGGCTTCGTCACAGTCTTTTCCTGCAAGTAAATAGTTTTAAAGCAACATGTAAAGACTAACTTAATTATGACATGAACAGGGCCACCAGAAACAGAAGTGACTGATATTCTGGAGACCATATTCTTGATGGATTGTGTCTTATGACCCTCAAGATCCTTATCTATTTTTAGTTTACGGAAACAAGTCAGTTTTTCCTTCCTGCAAAATCGTATGCAGTTCATCTGATCCAGCACAGCACATATCTAACATCTCTGTCTGTGTTCTACCCAAATAATGTGTATTAGTCTGAGTAACCTCAATCTAATTAGTCCAGTTGGTTCAGAACCGGTGTAAACTTAATTAGTTTCAGTGATCCAGTTACAAGTGTAGTTTTTCTGGTAACAATAAAGTAGTTTAGGATCAGAGGTTAATGTGGTTTTTGTGAGCAGTTGAGTTCCCTTAATGTTTTCAATGTTATTAGAAGAATGAAGAGTGTAACATGTGTTACCATAAGTGTTGTTATTGAAAACATGTATTGCTATGGCTGTTGATACCTCAAGCCTTTGTCACCACATATAATAGTTATAGTATAACGTTAGGCTTTATTTTTTGTATCCAATGCAGAAACCTATTTAATGAGTCAAACTGTACTCCATTATTTAATGTAAATACGTTGGTGAGGCACATTACAACTGTAACACAGTTAAACTGTCATTAGCTGAGCGCTTCATTATCATTTATATTCTGAACGACCTGTTCTAGGACTCTGATGAAAGTAAGCCGCTGATCACCCACCCAAACCCTGTCAGCAAACCCCCTAATGGGACAGACTGGATCACTACCAGTGTCCCCTCAGCAAGGACAGATGAACAGGCCCTCCTTACATCCATCCTCACCAAGACCGCACAGTAAGACACTCTTCCATGCAACCATAGACGAGCCAAATTCAGCCTGTTTTTGAGCAGTAATTCACATGTTGTCCGTTTAATAAACTCGCCTTTATTTCCTCTCTGTCAGGAACATCATTGATGTCTCGGCAGCTGACTCTGTCATGATGGAGCAGCATGAATACATGGACAAAGCTCGGCAATACAGGTATGTGTGTGAGCAGTTGTGTAATGTTGTTGTCCAGTGTTGTTGCTCTTCTGCAGGATTCTGTTTTGTTTTCTGTGTATGGTTGTGGGGATGATGTGGGTCTTTTTGTTTGGAGTTTGTGTTTTTTGTCTTCTAAAATGAGACCAATCAGTCTGTATTGCACTTACAGGTAGCCTGTGAACTGTAAAGACTGCATGTAACTGTAAAGATAGCGTGGGTATTTTAGTTGTTAGAGCCATATAATGATAACATTCTTAGTTGATAAGAGGTTCAGCATAACCTTACAGTATATGGTGCTTTATAGTGTTTATTTACAGTTTACAGCTTATAGGAAAGAGATGTTCAGATGACTTAAAGCGAGGGTGTAATGTTGGAGAAACTAGCTAGATTTTGAAGCTGACAGCCAAAGATACTGGATTTTTTTCTTCTTTTTTTATTGTTATTTTTAGACCATTTGATTTATTAATTGCTGATGAAAAGAGAATTTCAACCAATATAACAAAACATGCTTCAGAAATACATTACCTACCCTAGCTTTAAATATTATTAAAACTGTCAGCTAGCTGTATATCCAAAGGTGTGTAATGGCTGGTTGGGACATCTGTGGTTGGTGCTGGTTTAAATGTAGTGAAACACATTTCCACACAAACCGAACGACTCAAGCAGCCGATGGGGGGAGGGGAGTGATACAACTAAAAAATTGCAACAGCTGTAGGCCCTCAAACTTTATCCCAGATACAGTGACACCTAGTGGCTAGATTTCTACCAAACACGCAGCTATTTTTAGGCTGAAACACACGAGAGACAAGGTGATGTGTTGTTGACAAACTGTTTTAAACTGCAGCTAAGGTAATGACAGAGCAACAGCCCCAGTAAGCTTGTGCCTTTTTTTTTGTTTCAGTACAAAGCTGGCTGTATTGAGCAACAGTCTGCCCCAGAAGAAAGCCCTCGCTCTCCCCTCCCTCACCAGCCAGCCCCACCAAGTGCTTGCGAGTGACCTGGTGCCATACTCAGATGTTCAGCAGGTAATCATTCACTGACACACAGATATGTTGCCATGTTTATTTTTCTCCTTTGTTGGCTACATTTGACACGAGAGAGATACTCTTTTAGAAGCAGTACGTGTAGCTGTGTGGTACTTCAGTGTGAGGGGGTGTGACTAAATGTGTGGTTAAAAATAGATCTTGTAGATATCTAATGCTTTTCTCTTGATTCTGCTTTTTAACTTGTCTTATATCACTCAGTCAAATTGTGAAGTTTAACTTAACATTAACTGTCTTCCTCTTTTTTTGCAGGTGTCCAAGATAGCAGCTTACGCTTACAGTGCAATCTCTCAAATCAAAGTGGATGCTAAAGAAGAACTGGTGGTCCAGTTTGCCATTCCCTGATTCTGCGACTCTGGCCTGCATATTGTTCCTCCCATCCCGCTCTCTCTGTGTCACTTCTGCATCCTCACCCTCCAGCCCGCCCTTTATTAAAGCATATTGGTCCTTGTGCTTCTTAGCTATGCCTCTAACTGCTACAAAGACAGTGATGATGATGTAGGATTGCACCCTATGGCTGTCATTTAGTGCACTTAATTATGGGTCAGGCTCTGGAAGGTGGTTTACTGTGGAGGGGCCGTTGGTGTGTGATGTTATATTTATAACAATAAGGCCTTCTTTTGTATGTGTGGATCACAGGCTTTGTCAGAACCAGCTGTGGAAAAATCATCGTTCATCCTTCTTGACGATCTCTCTTATCTAACAGTTTTCATGGCCGTCTCATTAACTTTTTTTTTTTTATTTCCCCTAGCCTGTATACTCAGGCACGCAAGGCTAGGTCCACACGTCAGACTGTTCTCCAGAGGCATAGAAGAATGTACAGTGTATTCACCTGGGACAGGGCTGTAGGAGTTATGGCTCTAGACATTGGCTATTTGTGTTTATACATGATACAATCTCCATTGGAACAAGGGAAATGAGGAATTTCTGACAGGAAAGAATGGAAATTATCACAGTACCATAAGTACAAGTGCAGTGATTGATTTTTTTTTTTTTTTAGCCAGG